ATGTTTGTATTGCCTATACGCTCCATCGTTATTAGTTCGTTTGTATTCCGCCCAACAGTGCCGTTTGCGGCTTAGGAGGCGAACGGTACGGTTCTTGATTACTGTAGGTGGCTTGCAGCTTTTGGGAACCGTTTGAGGAACTGAATGGTCTGTAGCACATAAGAGCCTGTGCAGTAAGAAGTCCCAATGACCATCCACATCGAGTTGAGGGTGAACATCCCAAACCACCTGTTGTAGATAGTCATGTAGAGCTGGCACATTCAGCCGTTTGAAATTCCAACGCAAATTATTGTTGGGATACCTTAGCTTAGTTTTGATGACAAAACTGAAGGCTATGACGGCATGGTCGCTCTTTCCCAGAGGAGCCAGGATTGAGAGGTTGTCGACTAGGAATTCTTCGTTAGTGAATACACAGTCTAAGCGCGATGGTGTCTGACTGTTTCTCCAACGAGTTGCCGACCTCACATTTTCATATAAGCCCAAGTTATCGATGAGGTTGAAGAACCGAGCTTTAGTTGAGTTGTCGCCTCCAGTGTACGTGTGTTCCGCGAAGTTGACTCTAGGGAGATTAAAGTCCCCTAGAATCAGGATGTGTGTGAAACCGAGACGGATAGGGCGGGATAGTCCTTCCAGCATACGACTATCGTACTCGGTGTCGGCAGTTGGCTTCCTGTAAATGACTCCGACTAGACACCTGGAAGTACTAGACAATCTTACATAGCACCATATAGATTCCTCAAGATTGTTGTGTACTTGGTGCACCTCCAAGCAAGAGCTTATGTATATGGCTACTCCGCCCCCAATACCTGTTTTTCTGTCGTTGCGGAACAAAGTCATCCCAGGCAATGCTAACTCTTGGTCCGAGAACTGGGAAGATATCCAGGTTTCAGATATTCCTATCAGATGGGCCTTATTAGCGTTGCTAAGTTCACGTAGTTCGTCCAGTTTGTTTGGTAGACTCGCGGCGTTCATAAATAAGTAGTTTATGCTTTCAATTTGGAACGCGTGAGCTTCGTCCTGTATTTCTATATGAACCTTATGTGAATGGACAGGTAGCCCACCTATGTGAGGTTTGCCGAGGTGGTAGGCCTTGTCCTTTACACGTTTTTTTATCGTGTGTGCCCTTCTTATCCCATTAACCACATGTCTGTATCTTTATTTTGTCTGACTATAAATATTGGGTAACGCTTGACTAAACTGGAGTTGGCTTTCCAGCCATCCTCCCTGCGTGTCATCTTGCTCTGTTCTATTAGATTCACTTAACATACAAAATAAATGTATTCAAAGGCCATTCTCGTTAATTGTCTTATTTAAATTCCGTTATTGACTAACGTGATTTAAGTCGACGATGATATACGAGAAAAGGCGATAACAATCATTTATACTATCTAAATAGGGCCACTAAAATGGTGAGCCCTTCAACGATAATCGTCTTATCTAAACGACGATAGATCTACGGGCCACCAAAATATATGTAGTGGAGGGAGAATGTGGAAGAGCAAAGAACGTGAAAAGACTTTAATGAATAACAAAGTAACCACGAAGTTTAAGCTCACTTTTTGTAGTGGAGGTAGCAGGTGGCAATAACACAAGATTTAGACTGAGAGAATCCTACTATCAATACATGAAGTTTCCCAAATGGGTTAAGTCATTGGGTCAGCATTGAAAGACGACAATTTTGTTAATCTTCTGTGTTTAGTAGCAATCGATTCAGGCTAGGATCTATAGAAAATAATGGTGTTTGAGATGCTGTAGCTCACTAAACGCTCTCGTCTGTGTTGCTGATAAAGGTGCCATTGGCATTTACATTTTGAGAGCGTCGTAACCAGTAACACCTTTATAATCAACCCAGTCAAATCAGGGGTCAGAGACGAAGTGATTCGAAGGTAATCTCAGCCAAACAATTCAATCACCTAACTGTCAAATGTCGTTAACTAATGCATCAAGGATCTTATTATAGAATGGTTAAGTTTGACTACAGTATCTACCTATTCGAGACTATGAACACATTTGCGCTGAAAGATGAAGCTGAAAAATCTCACGTCTCGGTTCAGAGGGTACAAAACTTTCAAGTGGATAATAGCTTAAAGATTTATATACAGCACTTTCGTGACCCTCAGGATTGTAGAAATGTAATAAGTTAATCTGGAACTGGAAGCACCCACAAATTTATCGGTTCCTGGTATATGTAAATTTTATTCTCAAAACATTCGCCCGGAAAATTATGAATGAGTAGGTTGCGTAATTTTCAGTTTTAACCACACCATGTGGTTGTCCTTCAGCCTAACCTGCCGTCACGTTCTGCTTAGACCCCTTCCCTTACATTAAACAAATGAAGAACGTATAGAATTTTCAAAATAACCTGATTTATTAAGATGAACATATATATCAGAACTGTACAAGAGTCGATTAACTACAGCATACACCAGTTCCCTGAGGTGCATAGCTGAGTCCGCATGATTGATATTTGACCTTAAGGTCGTTTGTTATATAATCCGAAATATATTGTTCAGTCTCTTGTGGTGTTGATACGCTCAACCTTATATATAATTTTTAAGGGCCCAGTGTTAGTCCACGAATCATATATTTTGTGTAATATTTTGATCCGATTTTTGTTGGAGAGTTGGAGTCATGAGCCGAATATGAAGGATTTTGGAGTATTTCACATGTGAGAAGGAAAAAAGGTGTAGAATAGCCTTTCTAGATGTTCTACTTACAAGGAGAGAAGACGGGTCGCTAAGAAAATAAACACGGACGTGCCGGTATATAAACTTTCTTAGTTTTGTTCCTCTGCAATACAAAAGGAACCTTATTAAGGCACTGCGTCATAGAATCAAGACCATATGCTTTCTAGATACGGTTGAAGGGGAAACAAAGAAATTATACACGACCGTGAAAGAAAATGGATATCCGGAGAAATTTATAAATGAAAACATAGCTCATAAAAGAGAGCATAGAGAATGTCAAACTTTAAATAAAATGCCTCTGTATATACGCTTACAATTGAGTTCGATGCACCGAGTGAAATGCTTAAACTTAAGTTAAGCAGATCAATTCAAAGGACATTTAATGCAGGTAAACTACAACTAATGTTCTCCACACGTCCAATAATCACTCCAAGGTTTAAAGATAAATTGCCTAGACTAGACACCTTTTTTCGTATCTATCAATTCAACTGCTCCTGTGGAGTAAGTTATATTGGCAAATGTTTCAGTGATTTTTATATTCGAGCTCGTGAGCACCTCTCAGTGTGATTAAGAAAAGGAGTAGTTAAAACGGCTAAAACATTTTCGTTATGAAGTTGTTATTTTTATCGATATTAATCCGATGCTTGGTCAGTCAAACAGTTATAGTCACTTTTAATATTTTTATTTATATACATAAATATCGACCTCTGAAACAAATTGTCACTTCAATCACCTTATTCACTCTAAGAATATTATTCAACCGATTAATTAACCAAACCCCTAAAATCATTAACAAAATCTTAGTTTGAAACAAACATTGTGAAACAAGTTTCTGAGGTTGAATTATTTATAATAAGTCCAATTTCGTTAAGTTGGAGTCATTCTGCAGGAAGAACAGATTGTCAATTAATTTTAATGCCGGTTTAAATTGATATTTTAGAGTTGCTCGTTCACTAAACATATTAAGTTTCATATATGGCTCATTGATACTCCGAAAGGAAAACTAGTCGATTAGTTAATACTCGCGTGCTATTCGTATTGTTGTGTGGTGTAAATCTAGAGACTTTCGACGCTTATTCTTACTTTAGTTTTAACAGATATTGTTAGGTGACAACACTCGGTCAAGGATCATGGTCAAACCTGGGTAAAATTCATTTGGGATTCTTCTTTCCTTAGTGGTCAATGTAATAGTTTAACGTTGAACTCTCTACGTCTGCTCGAACATATTTCTTCTCTCAATAATTATCATCTTCCTTGTTTGTGTTCAGGATATCTTGAAGCAGCCAGATACCAAGATTGTCAAATTCTGATTTTCATTCCATTATTCTCTCTCACTCACCCCATGTTGACCATATTCATTCTGATCATTTATCTCATAATTTCACTTCACTTATAAAATGATTCAAGTTAACACTTCATATTAGTCAGCCCTCACACTGACGATTTGATTTTGTATGACAAACAACAATTCTTGGTTCTCATATTACAATTTTAAATGATGTACTGTGTCTTAAATCTGGGATTGACAAATTATAAGAGGAAGTGTCGAATAATCCTAAAAGCACGCAACCTCTTTATATAGTAAGTTAGACAGTAAATTTTCTTCGATAACAGTAAAACAAGAGAGATTAAAGGAAAATGTAACTCCAAGATAATTAACCTTCGACACTATGTTTATTTACTGTATCATTCACTCTCTAATTTTCAGTTGATTTCTGAATGATCCCAGATCATAACAAAATCTTCTATAAATACACTTGGACCTCATATCTATAATTCTTTTTAATGGTATCAATATAAACCAAAAGCTAGAATTTTTTTTACAATGAAATTCATTCCAATTAGGAAATTAAAACAATTCATTAAATTATTGTTTGAGTTCATGAACCGATTGATGTTAGATCACCGTTCGAAACCTGGAAGCACTGGACGGCCATTTCGTCCTATTGTGCGACACCTCAGCAGTGCGCAGACAAGATCCCGCTCGCAGGATTCGAACACAGTGTCTTCTGTCTCGCTCGCGAACGCTTCACCTATTATTATTATTATTCCACCAATCAATGGAAACCTTCAATGAATAACAACCAATCAAAAAGAAGTATTGAATGACAAATAAAATAGAAACCAAATCAAAATTCATTCTATACTTTAATAAGTATTTACATCATTTTCCTCTCCTTTTTTTAAAAAAAAGAAAAAAACTAACAAAATAATTCTTTACACCAATTTTTTAAATTGAGAGAAAACAATCAAATAATTAATCAATCAATTAATTAATTTTTTTTAAAAAATTATTATTTCACATTATAATCAATGTGTGATTATCAAAGTGGATTTATTTATCATTATCAAAATATTACTGATATTCCTACAAAAATTGATATAATAATTATTATATTTTCATGTTATATAATATTGATTAATCAATTTATATTATTTTTATTATTTCAAGCTTATTTAATATCATCATCACAATTTGTAAATATTTTAATTATGATTCAAATAACATTTGATACATTTGTTTGTATTTCACAAATTGGTAATAAATTTTGTCCATTTTTTTTAATTACATCAGAAATGTGGATCAATATATTAGGTTGTCATATATGGACAAGTGAATTTTTAAATAATTTATTTAATACATTTACTAGACAAACAATTATTACAATGATTATTGAACATTATTTATCGATTTATATACCAAATTTAAATTTATTAAATTATCCTAAATTATTAGGTGGTATTTATTGTTTAATAGTAGTATATAATATAATTTCTAATTTATATTTAATTCTTTTAGTTAAATTAGATCAAACTGGTCAATGTATAATTATTTCAAAAATGTTAATCAATAGTAGTGATCGATTAGAATTAATTATTTTCAATTATATTTCATTGATACTTGGTGATATTATACCATTTATAGTGATAACTATTATCATTATATTAATAATATTACATCATTATAAAATTAAATTGATTACAAAAGATGAAAATCAAATGAAACCATTAGAAAATTATTTAAGATTATTATTAATTATTTGGTGTTTACCAGAAATTTTAATTACATTATGTGATATATGTCAACATGTATGTGAAACATATATAGAATATGAAATGATATGTGATATAACACATCATTGTTTAGAATTATTACGTTCAATTACATTTATATTACACTCAATGAGTTTATTTATTTTTTTAAAACCAATAAGAATTGAAGCTTTAAAAACATTCAAAAATATTTTAAAATTTTTAAAAAAAATATTTTCATTTTTTTGAAATTTATGATTTCTTATTAAATACTATTTTCAATGGTTAAGATCATGAGTCAATTGAAGCTAGCCCACCATGGAAAATCTGGAAGCACTGGGCGGCCATTTCGTCGTATTGTGGTGGATGTGTCATTCAATTTCATGGATTAGTTGAAGTAAGACATTAACACTGTTGGATGCCGACCAGCTCAGTGGTCTAGTGGTTATGTGCTCGCGCGCAAAACCAGAAGGTCCTGGGTTCGAATCTCACAGGGGACGAGGTTGTGCATGCGCGCCGCTGAGGAGTCTCACAATAAAACGAAACGGTCATTCAGTGCTTCCAGGTTTTCCATGGTGGTCTAGCTTCAGCTGACTCATAAGCTTAACCATTGAAATTACTATCATATCCACAAAAACCCATAAAATATTATTTTATTGTGTATTTTTTCCAAATTTGTCAAATTACATTTTATTATGAAATATTGATTCAAAAGTTTATTATTCTTATTATATTTGTTAATACATTCTCAATTAGTACCATTTATATGTTCTGTTTACTCATGTGATCCATTTTATTGGTATCATTAACTGATAAATTACTTTGATTAGATTGATATTTTTATGTATACTTATTAATATTATTGTATATTAGGATAATTTCTAACAAGGATTTAATTAAAAACAATACTATTCTCGTTTATTTGTTGTTTGTAATAATGAATATCTTATTTTGTGTATACATATTAATCCCTTTAATAATTTGCTTAATTTCAGTAGAATCAATATTGAAATAAAATTTACTGTCTTTTTATTCATTATGTATTCTAACAGTCTAGTGTGATCTTACAATTTGAAGAAAGAAAAAAATTCTTGCAATTCATTATATATTTAAATAGTTCGAAATGTAACCGGAACTTCCATCATAGTTGGTTTATTTTCATTTATTATCTTTATAAGAAATGAGAGGTGATTAAACTACAATTAATGTATCAAATAAGCTATATGATAATTAAAAAAAAAGAACGCCTAATTGAATCTTGTCTTAAATTTCTACTGATTAGGGTTTAAAAATTATATCTAATGCGAATTTATAGATTCCTTTAAGTTTCCATAGTTAGAATAAATAAAAGAGAGATGTCTGAAGCTACACCGTATTTCGTCATACTGAGAATTCCTTGATGTTATCAAATTTATGTTAGTGAATAAGACCGATATTAAAATTGTAAATGGATTTATTTACTTAATACGCTTCTGCATCGACCTATTTGCTAGACAATTTGTAATATATATATATATATATATATATATATATATATATATATATATATATATATTTGAGAGAGAAAAACATGTAAGTTAATGAACCGATCACTTTCCACTGAATTTGTTAACAAACTGTACACTTGTAAATGTATACACCTACTCTTATGGAACAATGCACAATGACCGTACTGACATCATAATTTCAACTCTAATATGAGAACATATTTTAGTGTGATGGTATTAGGATGACAGGGAGATGGTTGGCAGTTCTGTCCTGCAACAGATAATCGACGCTACACCCTCCATCAATGCATAATTTGATCTTAATGTAGTTTACAGAATTCGTCCAGATCAACTAACATTTCTTTGCATGCAATTCATTAAAACAGTAGAAGCTACTCACATCTTCCAAATGAAATATTAACTGAACAAAAGAAGCATATCTTCTCAATGCCTATACCATGCCATAAACTATCATTATTATTATTGTTATTGTTATTACTGGAGGTATTAGTAGCAGTAGCAGTAGTATCACTATTATTATTGTTAATACTATTTTACTTTCAGTTCATTACATTGATTTTGCATTTGAAAATATCTGTCTCTCTCCACGTATCTCTCACATTCACATCATTTTACTGGTGTATGTTTCTCATATCATTGTATTTCATTGAACCCTTCTAATACCTATAATTCATGTGACGAAAACATTTTAATTATTTTACTGTAATCGAATTATGTTCCAATGTGAGTTTAATAATTTTATACACCTTCTTATTTGCACGAAAACAACATTTTATTTTAACTATTTACTCTATAGAATCTTTTATTACAATCTTTCCGTGATCTCATTATATCAGTACATTATTAACATGCTCTCACAGAATTAATACCTGAAATCTCTTATGTATATATGTATACATATGTATACAATCGTACACGTTTATAATAAATTCTTTGATAAGCGATCCATTTACTGAAGTCCTTATTCTTGTCATATTTTACAGATCTTAATTGTTGTTGATTTATAAAGTAAATGATGAATTTGTCAAACTTCCTTACAAAATCTTGTCACGTTAATTCTTTTTTAGAATATGGTATTATTTGTTATCTTGTAATTTATATATTTTATTACACTTTGTAAATACTTTGAATGTTTATTTAATGTTCAATTAATAATGAATCAAAGGATCTTTATATGTTCAGCTGATATATACAGATATTTTAAGATACATTATAGAAATGTTCATTATTTTAAGTAAGTTGTCAAATTTTTCATAGTCTTATATATGTAATCTAATAGTTGAGTTCATGAGTCAATTAAAGATAGACCGCCATAGATAACCTTGCAAATTGAAAGTGGTATCTCCAAATAATTTTATAGACTAAAAAGTTAAAATAGTTTTCTACCCGTTAATGATTCGTATTATCAATAACTAATAAATAACAATATCATATAAGTCATACTCATCAAAATATTTGCAATTTTCAAACATTTATACTCATAGGTATCATTACCAAGGCTTGACCTAATAATTTCGAATACATTGAGCATTGGTTAGATTGTTATTAATAAATTAATATATTTGTAATACCTCAATGAGTAGAAAAAAAAGATTTTCTGACATTTTGCGACTCAGTGTAAGCCACTTCTTCAGAGAATATTACAAATATTTTATTAGTTGAGATCATGAGTCGATTAAAACCTGAATACACTGGATGGCCATTTTGTTCTAGTATGGGACTCTTCAGCAGTGCGCATCCACGATCCCACCTCGCGAGATTTCTGACTCAGATCTATCGGTCTCGCGTGTGAATGCTTAACCTCTAGACTATTGAGCTGGCATCCAACGGTGTGAATGTCTAACTTCAACTATTCCACGAAATCGAGCGAAACATCAATCATTGTCTTCAGTGATTTACTACCCCACAACAGACCCGGCTGAACTCAATTGGTCACTGCTTTCCACAATAGGATGAAACAGCCATCCAATACTTCCAGGTTTTCCATGGTGCTCTACGTTTAATGGATTCATGATCTTAACTATTAAAAATACTATAATATCCAAAAAACAACCCTTCTGATGATACAAATATAGTAATTTGTTTATATTTACACTTATATTCAGAGACTCTTCAATATTTGAAATGATTTAAAAATCTCCGGATGTCAATCTTACAGGCAATAAAATTAAGATCTAGTTTAAGGTGTCAAGATGATTAGTTACTTCTTTGCAGTAATTCAAAATAAATCAACTTTATATCAACAAAAAAAATATTTTTTTTATTTGGAACTTATTTTAATTTACCTATACATCTGATTTATACATAATTTTTCGAAGTAATAACAAAGCACAAAGAATATGAAGAGTTTGACAAACAAAAACGTCAATTAAAAAAACCTTTGGTATTTAGTATGATTATTTATTCAAATAAACATTCGGCATATTGAATGTTTAATAAAATAAACGTATTTTTCAAAGAGTTTACGCTATAAAAGTTCAAGTTTTTCTTTGATAAAATTTAAAATTCACGCCTTAATTTGTTTAGTGATGAAAAAACCGAATGAAACTGAATTTTCTTTTTCTATTTTTTGATTCAATTTTAATCATAGAACTAATAAGCAATTAAACTACTTGATCATTATAACGAAAATAAATACAGAGAAAATCATAATGGTTCCCTATTTACTAATTTAGGATTGTCATTTTCTTAATTAATCTTTTTAGTGATTTCTTCTTTCCTTTCCATTTACCGTATAAAGTATGAAAAATAAATTCGGATGTTTTTGATAGTTTTTTTCTCTAAACTGTATGGTTTAGTTTTGGAGCTTTTATCGTTCTTCTGAACGACATCATCAGCACAAACTTCATATAGAATTGAAGTGTTCGAATTTCTCCACATTTGGTTCAAAGCTTGTCCTGTAGACCTCGATGTTGATTGGTTCTTGTTGACGTTAAATGTGTCATTGTTTATTTCCTTGTTTTGGTTGTATCTCCACCTCTCATATTCGAATGTTTAAGGAGAAAAACAAATATGTGACCAGTATGTGAATTTAGAAGCTTGTCAGAATTAAACTCAATATGGTCACCTTATAAATTATTGGTAATTAGATTTAAATGAGATATTAACAAAATACTTGTAATCCATAGTTTTGATGTTTGAATTACATTGTTTTCCAGTTTACTATTTTGTTTGATTAAATTTGTCAGAGAAACTTTAGAAGTTCATGTTTATATACACGAAGTCAGCTTTTGATGACAAGTCAAATACATTTATATTCAAAGGGTAGTTCCTAATACTGTTTATATTCAAATATACAATTAGAATTTGAAAACTTAGTATATTATGAAACTCGGTCGACCGGATAACCCGACTGACTGTTTCATTTAAGCAGAAAACTCAACTGTACAAAAATATACAGTATTATTTCCCTAAAATAAATACTACAGAATAAGTAACTTCATAAAACAGTTTTAAATAACTTAAAATAAATAGCGATAGGTTAGAAAATGTCCATTTCCTACCATTTTGTAAGTCCCGAATAGTATATCTTTTCACGTGATTTGTTACTTTTCTTTAAGGTAACTATCATTTTCATGAAATAACTTAAACAAGCTACTTAAGTATTGTTCAAACTGTGAATATTAACATGTTACTTTGCTGAATTCAAACCTATAATTAGTTTCGCAATGGACTCAAGACGTTTTATTGAGAAATGATGATTAGGAGAGTCCAATCATGTCAGAGACTATTCAGTTATCC